GGCTGCAGAGCGTTCCCTGCGCATGCGCAGGGGACGCTCTGTCACTTTTGGGGGGATTTAAGTATCCCCCCGATATTTTTTTCAGGGTTTTCGATTTTTGTGCACACCTGGGGACCGTCCCACGTGTGCACAAAACTCTCCCTGCCCCCCAGGTGCCCCCGGTGCGCGGATTTAGGTATCCGCACACCAGGGGGCAACTTCAGTATTAGTATATAGATTAGTTTTAAAATATCACTGAAATTAATTGTTATTGTTTTCCTAAACAATGTTGCAAAAAATACCTTGACACAGATACAGAGATACTTTACATTTATTTGCAAATATTTTTCTCAGAGCATATAATATTGTCATTATTAAAATAAAAATGGAAAAGTTGTCATTTTTCCTCCGTTTCATACTCTGAATTCAAGAATCACTTATTTTTCCACCTTATGTAACATAACAAAAGGAATTACCTCTTGAAAATTCACCCGCAGATTCATGCAAAATTACAGTTTTGGAATATAAAATCAACTTACACTTTCTAGAACATGGAAATAAAGTGTTTCAAGATTTTGAAACCCTGGCTTAAAATACGGTTGGGTTTTGCATGGTCATCTGAACTGAAGTAACATTAAGAACATAAGAACATAAGAGCCGCCAATGTTGGATCAGGCCAAAGGCTCATCCAGTCCAACACTCTGTGTCACACAGTGGCCAGAAATACCAGTGCCATCAGGAGGTCCACCAGTGGGGCCAGGACATTAGAAGCCCTCCCACTTAAAGAGACATATACAGAAGCATGCTATTCAATAGTGCATACCTCCTGGATGGAGGCTAAGTCAAGGGGAGTGGGTCCTATTTACGCAATACATATACTGATGTAAAGGGACACAAGGTCTATAGTTGTCTACTTTGGCATAGGGTTGCCTGGTATTGAGCGCTGGGTTTCATTCACAGGGATTCAGGCTGAAATATCAGGGCCATCCTGCTACCAAACTCACTTGGAGAACAATCCAGACACACAATGAACTAGCACTAACAGCTCAGTGACATTTTATGTTTAACACACAGTTGAAAGACCAATACAAACGTGTGTGTGTTCTGGGATGGTAAATAGTTCATCTCATCAAAGCCTCGTGATTCTGGCTATATACATTCAGAGATGTCATATCCTAGTGATGTATGGAAATATTGCCATTAGCACTGCTACTCAAAGGGATACTATAGGTCCTGCCCAATGACATTACTCTAACTCACCCCATGAATCCAAGGATTTGGGATACTAGGCACTGGGCAGGCCCATTTTAGCACTGAACCAATAGTGCTAAAAATAAATATTTCCTCATTTTCTCCTGATGTGTTCACCAGGATTTCCCTATAGATGGTGTTTGATAATAATTGCAGGTGGAATTTGCATCTGTGCACAAGTGATCCCACCCATACTTTCAAACTGCGCTACCCTCAAACCACCCTGGGGCTGTCCAGTGGACCACATGGCCATGGAAGCTGGAAAGAGGAATCCAGAGAGTAGCAGCAATGTCATTTTGGAAATATTTTTTTTTCCTTTCAAGATTCGCAAGGATGCAGGTATGGCATGGAATCACACATGTGTTGCAGGTTCATACTCATAGGCTCAGAAAAACGATGTCTGAGACCCTGCCAATGCATCCCATTGAAGAACCAAAGCAATGCAAGCAACCAGAACACAAAGGGAACACTGTATACCATTATTTTTAAGAAGGGACTTGCATTAGTTGTTCATACTGATATAGATGCATTGTTTTCAACATGTCTAAGTCCTTTTGTTAGCCAGTTCTCTCTTAATCGTATTACTATCTTTTGCTTGAGTACATATTACGAGTGTATCAAATGTACCTTTGTGATACAAAATCTTTGGGTGTCCTTTGGGTTTGGGTAAAATAGCAACTTTATCAAATGTACCCTAAAGATACAGAAACACACAGGAATAGAAAATCACTGTGCATCTTAATTTACTTACTTGTATAGGTGGATTCATTTTTTGGATCTCCTTCCATTTCAGCTACTAGTGGATATATTGTGAATGTATACAGTGTACCAGGTTCCAAGTCGCTAATTACAGCAGTGGTGTTACTTGAGTATTCCGTCCTATTGGAGTCATCATCAACTACTATTTTATATCTGTAATTTGCAGCATTTCGATCACTGCTGTTCCACATTAAATTTACAGCTTGGGTAGTGATGGTGCTAAAACGGATGTCAGTGACTGGACTGGGCTCTGTTTCAAAAAAATAAAAACAAAAAAGTGAGGATTTGTGCAATTTCTAACGAACACCACTGTTTTTGTTAGGATATTGCTACCAGAAAAACTGTTGACACAGATAACGGTAAGTTCAATAATGAATATTTTGTCAGAGCATATACATTTTAACAATCAAGATAAAAACTAAAGAGACAGATGTCTAAATTTAAATTCTGAACTTGCACTTCTTAAAAGCTGGTCTTTATACGCCCACATACCTTGTATCTCTGTCTCTTACACGATTTGCCAGAGGCAGAACTGTAGCACAGATTCAATTAAAAAATTAAACTCGTTTGGTTAATGAGATGGAAATAAATTCAGGACCTGGTCCCAGCCAATCTCTAGCATTTTCTGTTTATATAATCTTAGGTAGCGGGGTTTGGTCAGATGTCTGGTTCGGTACCCTGGACAGCTGCAGTATTGACAGAGTAGACAACACTAGGCTAGGAAAATAGTCTGACTACATGTACAGTAGTTTCACGCCCGTCTTATGTACAGATGTCTGAGAATCAAACTCCTCCTCTGAAGTGTAGAAATAGAGGAAGTCAGATCAGAACTTGCAAATGGTAAAGCAGCTACACAATTTCCATAGCTACCATTACCCTGATGGTTTTCTTGCTAGCAACTGAGTGCACAGTGGCATCACCTTTGCATTATCATATTATGATATTGTTTATAACTGAAGCCAACCCAAGATAGTGCATAGGGTGACTTTCAGATCACCATTCAACTACAGTGATCAATGGGTGACTTTGGGCTAGTCGCTCTCTCAGTTTACTTTCTCCCTTGCCCCCCTCTTTTACTAATGGCTCACACGCTCTCAACTTTCTGTTTCTTATCTAACATGCCAATTTTTTTTGTTACAGTATAGACCTTTTAATTTAAGTTCATTTTAATTGACTAAGAATGAGAAGTCCAGATGAAGAAACTGATCCATATGCTGGCCATGACCCTTGAAGCCTTTAATCCAGTGGTCCTCAACCTGTGGGTCGTGACCCCTTCGGGGGTCGAACGACCCTTTCACAGGGGTCGCCTAAGACCATCGGAAAACACATGGTCTTCTGATAGCAACGAAAATAATTTTATGGTTGGGGGCAGTGTTCCCTCTAAGATGAGTTAGTGTGAGCTAGCTCACAGTTTTTTAGCCTCTGGCTGACACATTTTTGTCTTCGCTCAGGAGAATGGCTCCAGAGCAAACTAATTTATGCAGTGGCCAAATCGCTCACTCACAACTTTAATGCCAGTAGCTCACAAAGTAGAATTTCTGCTCACGAGACTCTGCAGCTTAGAGGGAACATTGGTTGGGGGTCACCACAACACAAGAAACTGTATTAAAGAGTCGCGACATTAGGAAGGTTGAGAACCACTGCTTTAATCATATATGACAAGGATATGTGTAGGAACAGCTGTTCTCATGCCCTCCTACCCATTCACTGTGGTTATTTTCTAAGGCCCTGCTTTGGATGCCACCGTTAGCTGACATGGTTGGCAACCAATGAAGAGGTATTTTCTGTGGTGATGTCATGACAGTGGAATAGGTCTCCCCTGAGAAACCCCCTTAACTTATTATTGTCATTTAGAAGATATTTTAGTTCACTTTGACTTTTGTTGCTGTTGGTATTTGTTGCTGCCCTTTGTCTCGGATGAATCCAAAAAAGCACTTGAATAGATGCTCATGGTATCTGATCCTCTGGCGTGAATATGGTCAGAAATACAGGGGGAATAGATGAAAAAGATCATGGAGGATGGTTCTTGATGAAGAAGATCGTGGAGGATATTTCTGCAGGCCAGAAATGGGTCTGGCTTCATCTCTCAACTAAACGATGAGAAATGTCAAATGGAGAATCAAGAAGCCTAAAATAGCACAACCTTGGAGAAGAGTCAAAGGTTTGTTGTTGTTCAGTCGCACAGTCGAGTCCAACTCTTTGCGACCCCATGGACCAGTTCACGCCAGGCCCTCCTGTCTTCCACCGTCCTCTGAAGTTTGCTCAATTTCATGTTCGTTGCATC